TTAATACTTACATTTAAATTATGATATCCTAGGCATACGTTACTTCGTCTTTCTGAACCTCGGTTTCCTCATTAGTGAAAAGAACGGTTGTTTTGGATGATTTCTAAAGTTCTTTCCAGTGCTAATATTTTATAATCCTGGTGATACTATATGCTAATATTTTATAATCCTGGTGATACTATATGCTAAAAGTAAATATATGTATTATAAAGCATTATATGAAACATTTAAACATTTTAAATATATGTTATCTATATTGGTTTACATTATATAATAAAGTAATTATGCAGTACGAACTAAACTTTTTATTACTCTGTATCTGTTTCTGAGGAATTACTAAATTATAAGACAGAAATCATTGTGCTGATATCTAGATGTAAGAAGACATTGCTTCTATTTTTTGAGATAACAAGTTATGACTTAAGTACTGCAAGGGTAACCAATGCCATGAAGAGTCAGAAGTAAAATTCCTCAGAACATTAAGATACAGATGCTGTTCAATCCACATAATCCTTAATAACACTGATGGCAAAGCAGGTATATATGTCATGTATAGATGAACACTTCGGCTTTCTCTGTGCTAAATTAAAAGACTGCCCTGAAGATAAAGCTGACTGAAGAATAAGGGTTAATGAAAAAAGAAAACCTGATCACAAAATATTTAAAAATATAATTAAAGTTGAAAAACTTATAACTTAAAAGAAACCTAAGAATTTATAGTTTCTTTTTTTGTGTGAAAAATAGTCTGCACATTTCCAGCGATGGAATACTAAAGATCACCTTTTAGCACTGCTAAAAGTATTATCATCATAAAAGCAAGAATAGTAATATGACCTTTATGGTCATTTTATACTTGCTAACTTTCTGGTGCTGGAAAGGTTAAAAAGGTTCTACAACTTTTTATATGTTGCTACATTCACAGGGTAAAAGGAGCTTTGTATTTTCTTAATATTGAAATAGACTAAGAATCCTTAGTTACCAAGGTATTTGTTTACGCCAGGGTGTTTTCCAAACTGAAATATTTTTAGAAAACTGTTAAAATAATCTTTTTTTATATATTATTATGAAATGAGAAATACATATTTAATCTTGAACTGATCATTCTATTAATTGTACTAAAATAAAAGTTTAATCTAGAAGAGTACTACCTAATTTATATTTAAAATAATCTTTTTCATAAAGAGTTATAAGCATTTGTTCAAGACACCAGAAATACCTGAGGCACAAAAGTGTCAAATATTTTGTTAAAATCTTTCTTAGAAAAGTATGAACTATTATTCTCCAGGTAATCATTCAATAGTTCATGTTTGGTTTTATTTTTTTTATTATATAAATGTCCAAGTTGTGTTCCAGTATGAATGTTTTATACTGATTTCATCACTCAAGAAATAAGTTCCCTCATTTCTATGTATCAGGGTCTGACATACTTTTTGCTCTCCTCACATTTACCTGTCTAATGTTGATGTATCATCTAATGGTTCTCATAGATTCATGCTTCTAATACTGTTTGGATATTAACTTTCCTAATAAGGCTTATTATAAAACATATACAATGCTTTTGTATCATACTTAAAAACTGTTGAATGCTAAAAACTGAATATATTCCTCTTATTTGGAATGTATTTTTCAGTGTTGCAGTCTGTTTCCTCAGAGGGAGAAGCTGCCTTGGGTACCACAATCAACTTCTGTCTGGACTTCTGTCCACCCGCTGTCATGAATGAATCTCATGACAATTCATGGTAGTCTATACATGCGTAACACTGACTACCGTGGCTGGCTTATTCTCAAGTGAATACATGCCTGGTCAACCCTAACTCAGGTAGCAGTATAAGATGGATGCTACTTGGCAAGGGTATTGACCTGTACCCAGGACGAACAGGTAGAGGCCAGGACCAGCAAATATGTCCCAGAAGCTCCCCTTCTCCTAGGCTAAAGGGATACAAATATTCCCTTCTAGTGTGTAACTTTATTATTACTTAAAGTACATCAGGGATGCCGAGGGGCCTTGTATATACAAAGTCAAAGCACTTCTCCCTTTAAGTCTGGCTCTCTGCTAATGCTCCCTCACAATAGCAAATATTCAGGATTTAGATAAAAATGCAGTCCCTGACTTGCTGGGGAGTGATATTCCAAAAGTTCATAAACAAGCTTATTATTTGAAATCAAGTTTTTCTAGAGAAAGATTATTTAAAGTAGTAACTATTTCCTCATATTCAGGGCCCCCAAAAGTCAGCTTCAGTCAGTATTCAACAGGACTTACTGATCATCTACTGTGCAGAAGAATATTATGAATAGAAGGGTGTTGCAAGAAAAGGAATGATTGGAAGTCATGGCCGTTATGTTTCTTCTCTAGAGGAGAGAGACCTGGATACAATAAAGTATAACACAGTGACACACATGATAAGATGGCAAAGAACAATTTAAACAAGCAAACAAAGGAAAAAACTGGGAACAAGTGAAATGAAGGGATAACAGCCTAAGCGAAAGGAGCTGATGGAGGAAAGACAAATTATGAGAACAGATTCCGTGTGCGCCTTACGGCTAAACCAGGAGTCAGCACACTGTGAAAGGCCTGAAAGTCAATATTTTAAGCTGTGGGCCTTAGGTCTCTCTCGGAACTACTAAACTAAGCTGCTCTAGGGCAAAAGCAGCCTAAGGCAATGCATAAACAAATGAATCTGGCTGTGTGCCAATAAAACTCTATTCATGGATACTGAACTTTGAATTTTATATAATTGTCACATCACAATATTCCCTTTTTTTCCAGTGATTTAAACCTTTCTTAGTTTACATGGCACACAAAAATTGGCAGTGGGCTAGATTTGGCCCAAAGGCAGTAGTTGCTAACCCTGCTCTAAACCACAAGAGACAGTGAAGACTGTGCTGTAAGATGAAACAGATGGAACCAAACTTTAATATAACCCTTCCCTAGGTTCAAAATGTATACAAGTCAAACTGCTGACATCCCAACTTGAGTGTTGGGATTATAAAAAATTTTATTCGGTTTCCTGATATTTTTCTAGAAGGAACATGTATTAACTTTTCCTTCTTTCTGGTTAGCCATCAATGGATTTTGATGAAGCAGCAGCATAATCTGTGCATATCTTTAAAAATTCTGCATTATTCTCAAGTAAGTGATGGCTTATCGATGATAACGACTAAACACGGAGATAAATTAGGAGGCTGGGTGATATTCTGAAAAAGATACTAGGTATATAAATTAAGACAGCAGCAGTGGGAATATCAAGTGTTGGAGACCAAACTGACTCCAAGGCTTCTATCTTGTATGATTATAAGAATAACAGTGTTGTAGGG